AATAATTCATAAGCTTATTGGCAAATCATGTCAACCATAATATGTCACGTGCAGTGGCTTTAAACCTGATAAAACACTCCTAATTAGTATTCTTTATATATAGAATACTAATAAGGCAGTATCTATTGTAGTCGTGTCTTTATCAGTATTCTTTATATAAAGAATACTAATAAGGCAGTATATCTATTGAATTTGTATAGTCGTGTTTGAAGCCGTTTAATTAATAAACTCGCAGGTCGTGTTTTATTAGGTCTAAAGCCACTCGCGCTGCGCGCTCGTGGCTTTAAACCGCTAATAAAACACTCCTGCTCGTTTATTAAACAGTATATATTACTTTATTTTCCTCACATGATACTGCTGTAGGCAGTAGCCAATACCCAACCTCGTACCCAGGCACTTTCCTCTTGGGGAGCAAAGACCCTGGTAGACGCTGGTCACGTGATCTGCTAAAATCTAGCAGATTTTTAATTAGCAATCCAAGATCAGGTCAATAAACATTTGATATTTGGATTATTTTGATAGTTTAATTTATAATTTGCATTTTGTATGATTGTCGTAAAGAAAGCCAAGATAGTTAATTAGAAATCTGCTAGATTCTAGCAGGTCACATGACCAGCGTCTACCAGGGTCTTTGCTCCCCAAGAGGAAAGACACTGGGTACGAGGTTGGCCAATACCTGGTGAAGTAGCCTATATTGATCCAATCCTATACAGGTTATAGACTGATTAAAAATTAATTCAATCCTTGGACTGGATCAAAGTTAATTCACCTCACTTCAAAATAGCCTGGATATCTGCCTCATAGTCGGATTTGATCTATTACTTCAAATATTTGTGAAAGCATGCATGCACTAGCAATCGCTGTATCAACAAATTTGACTATATTAAAACCAAATGAAATCGATTTCGAAACTTTTAAGATCTGCTATTTGTAGATTGGCTTTCTAAACAAAGTCTGCCCCAACATCTAAAACCACAGGCAAAGTTCTAAATATCCATTTCTTTTCAGGTCTATATGCCTATGGGCTATGGGGAAATTCATTGTATCGAATAGTAGCCAACGCTGACGTGGCGTTGTTTTGATATGCCTATTTTAGCTTCCTTGTGATTATATATTACTTAATTCGATTCTTACCTTGGCTTTTATGCCTTCAGGATTTAGACTTTATCTTCCAGTTTCTTCACATCGCTAGAATTTCAAACACTGTGCTTGATTTGATCGAAGAAATGGACAGGAATATGTCGTTTGAAAGAGCAGACAAAATCGCTCGAGATAAAGAGTCTGGGTTTAGTTTCACTTTGACTTGAATCAATACACCTTAAATTCCTGAATATTGAATTACGTATCGAAATTTCGACATTGTCCTTGTGCAAGTCTTGTGACCCCCATGGTTTTCCTGGCTACGCAATGATTTTTATTGTCAAAACCTAGAGTCCTAGATGCTAGAATTACTCGGGGCTAGCGTCGCTAAATAAAGTGTGTATATGTATGTATGTATGTATGTATGTATGTATGTACACTCTGCAGCCAATTTCTGCTATACCTTGTCTATTTTACGAAATTTATACTACAAGTACTACTAGGTCAATTACCTATGCAACATCTATTCACTAGCAAATGTTATATTTTTGTATCTACGTATTACGTATATACCGAGGTTAATAAAATCGAAGAATAAAAAATAAAAATATGAATCTAAAATCAACACTGTATGCCCCTGTATCAATGTGCACATCGTGACAGTAAGTTCACTCAATAATATATGGATATGGTCATGGATTTGAATTTGTGGGGAAAGTACAAAACATGGATCCCCGGTCCATGGACCCCTTGTCTGGACTGGGTTCATGGATCCCCTCTATGGACCGGGTCCATGGACCCCTTGTCTGGACTGGGTCCATGGATCCCCTCTATGGACCGGGTCCATGGACCCCCTCCATGGGCCGCATTTTTCCAAATTTCAATATTACTGTTAATTAAACATGATTCGAGTTTTCAATTCAGTTTTAAAAATATTTTAGTGGTTTTAAAGCATACTTTTGTTCTTAGCAGCAAACCTCATCTACACTCCAGTGTTTTCTTCATACTAAAGCGAGGCTTGCTAACGACATATCATCATGACAAATCAATGCACCATGTGAATAATAATAGTGTTACTGACTTGCAAAGCCAGTCAATGATCACAGCCTATGAAATTAAAGAAACCACTAGCTAGGCACTGCCAGCAAAGTGTTGAAATAATGAACCACTTTCATTGATTGTGCATCTTAATTAGCCTTCTTGGTTCAATATACCAAAAACTGTTTCAATTCGTCTCTTATGAAAGTGGTCTAAAGGCACTGTTCATAATCAGCAATTTGATTTGCTTCGATTAATACATTTTTGTGAGCTGTGCACTAGCTAGCTGGATGTATAAGTGTTATTTGGAACAAATTAATAGAACATTTTGACCTTGCAAGTAAATTTGTTTTCTCCCTGTACTTATATTACGTACGTATTTATATTCAGGTGTATTCAAAATTCCTGTTAACATTCATTCATAGATGGGGCCATTGAGATATCGCGTGTCTGTGGACCCGGTCCATAGAGGGGGTCCATGGACCCGGTCCAGACAAGGGGTCCATGGGCCGGGGTCCATGTTTTGTACTTTCCCGAATTTGTGCCCTCGCCAATTGACAAAGCACACGTCGTTACACAAAGCAATTTTCCATGCAGCTTGGAACCCAATTTTTGTTTTGAGCAAAATATTGAGGGAAATTTCAAATAATCTGCGAAACTATAACCTCAAGTTCATTTAAGACTAGCTAAGACGTGAGGGTGTGCTAATCAATAATCATTCTTACTTCCAGCTGAGAACTATTAAGATGAATTACAAAGAACGCAGCTCAAACTGATCGAGTCGCAGTGTTACTAAGGGCGTCTCTGGTTGACACCGCAGCAAAACTGATGTCTGATCACGGAGCACCGCTACGATGGAAGGAGTAGTTTGGGGGTATATTCCAACCCACCCTGTCAATATTCTCTGTGGGATGAAACCGGAGTGTATAGACTTTCGACAGAGCGATGCTGACTCTTCCAGAGTCCCTCAAATTTTTTTTGACAAAAATTAAGACTAGGCAGACCCAAATTTACAGGCGCTTGCGGGTTGGAACAATAAGACTCAAAAGCCCATGTATATGTATATGTAGCCTTGACCGATTCATCTCATCTTAGTGCCGTGAGTCGACAGCGAGAATCGAGACCATAATCTCACAGGCGAAAGGCGCTTGTTCCGGACGAAATAGTCATAGACGGGAGAACAGGGTTTGAAGCGACATATGCAAGCGAGGCAAAATATACAAGCCACCTCCAGTAGTTCTAGTAACATGTGGTGTTCTCAAACTTCGAGTTTCACGGAAGAATCTTTGTCTCAAAACACCGTCTTGAACACAGAATCAAATTACTTGTTTCGCAGAAATAATTTCATGCATTCCAAGAATCGAGAACTCTCGTACCTGACAAATGAAAGAAGGTTGGAGATTCCTAACACACATCAGATTGTCCAAGATATAATTATCAAATCTAGATCATTCTCCTGTGCCCAGAAAGCATATATCATTGATACATGTTTACAAATAAAGATGCATTGTTATTAATCCCGCATATAAGAACCTAGCAGATTAAGAACCTCGGCCCAAAACTTGCCATTTTATAGACACCCGTTTTTATCAGAAACCGAATTCAGAAATTTGGAAAATGTTCTAATAATAGTTAATTAGAAATCTGCTAGATTTAAGCAGAAAACGTGACCAGCTCCCACCAGGGTTTTTCCTCCACAAGAGGTAAGAGCCTGGGAACGAGGTTGACCGGGAAAATAGTAGGTTCTTATATGCGGGAATTTTACTGTAATTATATACAGTACATGATTAACATACAACTGCACAAGCTCCGGTTCTTGCTTTCTGAATTTCTGGAAGTTCGTCCCAGGTGAAGCGATCAAATTTAAAATTTTCCACGGACTTTAAGTAATTTCCTCTCCCATCTTTGCCTCCCATGACAATCACAGTGTCTCTGACAATTGCAGCCACACATCCTCTCCTCTTATACTTCATGTCAGGCAACATGAAACTCGTCTGGGTCCTGATGTTGTACATTAAAACTTTGTTCAATGGATTATCATCACTGTCGACTCCACCCACTATAATAACATTATCATCACCCCACTTGACTGCGGCCATTTCACTCACGGGGTAAGGCAGGGGTGCCAACTCCTTACATTCATTCTTAACAATATCATACATTAACACACTTTTAAGGCTTGTGGTATATTTCGCATCTTTTCCCCCTCCAAGAATTACAATCTTACCACCAAACAATACAACACAATGGAACCACCTTGTCTGTGGCATGGTAGCCAGCACCTTACTGGTATAAGGTGGAACAAGAGAAACCTCAGTAATCTTATCAGAATATGCACTTTTATCAACATCATAACCTCCAATTACTATCAACCGCCCATTATAAACTACACTGCGGTGTCCCCACATTGGCCCAGGTAACTCAGTAAGAACGTTTTCCCAAGTTATGGACTGGTCAACTTCAACAGCATTCATTGATAATTTCTCTATTGACTTGATTACATGACCGTTACAATAACCTCCAACGACAAAAATTTGATTGTTGTAAACAACTAAAGATGCTAAATAACGGGGCTCTTTCGTTGGCTGCAGTGGTGCCCACATTGCATTGGAGAGACCAAACATTTCCACAGAATTTACACTTTCTTGACCATTCCAGCCTCCAACAACAACAACCTTCGGCTCTCTGTCTATTCCATCAGCTTCTGCAATTCCCTTCTTTTCATGCTCTTGTTCAGTCTGAACTTCGTGCGATGTTTGTTGTGTCAATCTTTCCAGTTGTTTCGTCATTTGGTTTAAACTTTTCTTCATTTCTACATTGTCCGCCTTAAGCTGACGATTGCTTTCTTCCTGCTTCTTAAGTTGTTCTTGAACAAGTTCAACTTTTGCAACCACATTTTCTTCCACTGCTTTCACGTTTGTCTCAACTCTCTTCTCATTTCTATCCAACTTTTTCTCATTCCTATCCAACTTTTCATCAACATCATTCAACTTTAAATTCATTGCTGCCAAATTCACTTTCACGGCATCCATTTCCTGTCGTATGTCATTACAGTTATGACATTAAACTCTGCGTAGTTCACACACAGCTGTTTCATGATGCAGTAAATCTTGTTTATTCACTTCGAGGCGACATCCTTCGTTCGAGCAGACTGCTGGGGCGAACCCACAGTCTGCGACATGCCTGCCCAGATTTCCTAACTCGATAAACTTTTCACAACCACGGTTGAAGAATTGGCAATGAATTTTCAATTCCGACAGTAAGTTCATTACGGTCCGCGATGGTTGGCTCAAAGTGTCAATGGTGAGTGGTTCCAAACACGAAGGGCATGTCTGGGAGTTCATGAGATGTCTGGTGATACAAGCTCGGCAGAACAGATGTTCATTATGACGACACATAACGGGGTTTTTAACAACATTATAACAAATACCACAATGAGAGCTCGGGCCGACAGGATGTTGAAATAGTTCGTCTTCATAACCAGTGTCGTACGACGCCATATTCTATTCACATCAAGAATTTAATTTTAAAAGCTCTTTTTATCCATGTCTTTCTTATAATCAATAAACATCTTGAGAAACATAAGAAAAGAGATGTTAGATATCGTTTTGTACTAATATTCAAAAATCTCAAACTCATGAGTAAAGTAACCAACCTTAAAAAACACTTTCATAATTCACGAGGAAAACACAAAGGAAATCACTACTGTGTCAGTGGTTTTACATGTGAAAAACCCCAAATTAATTCACATAAATTTTGACTTTGATTTTCTGGGCTTAGATATAATATAACCAATGGTGGCGCCAGAAACTTCCCGACGGAGGGGCAGTGGCGGCGCCAGACTTCCAAATTTG